GGCGGAGTTCGCGAATCCTCGAACAGGCTACCTTGAAAAGCATCAGATCGTCCGCTTTTTCGCGGTGCGTACTGACGCTGCTTGAGACTGAGCATTGTTCCTGACCTGTCTGTTCAGAAACTCAGCGGTGTCTTTGAAGTCCGCATCTACCCTTCGGAGTTTGGTATAAGGCAATTATTACAGGCGTCCGAGGCATCGTCTGACTCCTGGCGTTCTGTGGTCGTCGAGGGAATCGATATCAATAAACTGAACAAATTGCTCGGGAGCGTTGACAATGCCAAAATACGGAAAAGACGTGCAGTTTACAGCAGACTTTACCATGAAGCCATGATCTCGCAGGAGCCTGGGAAAGGGATTTCGTTCACAAACATGCTCTTGATGTTGGCACACCACAAACTCATTGACGACCGCGAAGCTCTTGTGTAAGTGTTCGCTTCTAGTTTTGATTCACCAAGCCTCACTGATCGTCTACAGACTAAAGGACCTGGTGACTCGGACTGAAATCAACAAGTTCGTGAACGATCTCGTCAATCTGGACCGCGTCCGTTCTCTCCTCAAGACAATTTACTATCGTCGCAAGTTCTTGGCGGCACGAGAAGAGCGGATCCGACAGTCGAAGATCGAACAGCAAGGTAGATAAATTCATTTCCCTGCGCCTATGATGTGAAGCTCACCGTGTTTTTGACAGGTATTCCTGAAATCGTTGTCGAGGACATGCCTTCTACTCCTTTGTTGTCAACACGAGATATCACTCAAGCAAACCGCGATTCAATGGGCTACTTCGGCGACTCGCCTTCGCCTTTGAATTCACCTTCACCATACCAGTCACCCGAGTTTTCTCTTCAGTCCGAGTCTCCATCTAGGCCTTCGCGAGGATTGCGCCGCAATCGGAGAGTCAGCGACATGACCATGCTGTCGACGGATCTCGGATACCAATATCAGTGAGCGATCATATACCTCCCTTAGGCTGTCGTGTTCACATTGCGTCAGACTCGATAATACTTTCTCAAGAGACTCGCATGACATGGAGGAATCCGATCCTCAGCATGTCCTGTCGTCTATGCAGAATTCAATTTGGGGTGGTATGTCTCGTCCAAACGCTACGTGTCAACCATTTGACTGACGTCTCTTGTTCAAGAAATGATGCTCCAAGCAGCAGAAGACCACTAAAGAATGTATCACGACCCAACCCACACATTCGTTTTTCGCATCTTGTTTTCTTATTGATTTATTCCCTTTACATCTCACGGACCTTTCTGTGGACTTTGCTTGTGGATAAAGATTCCAATATGTTCATCAATTAGGACAATGCATTCATAGACAGCATACGTGTAAAACCTGCTTTCGTAAGAACATAGCATAGATGACGTGTAGCCTAAAGGGAAAAGAGGATTCGTTACATGCGTTCACCACGACCGCGACCTCGGGATGGTCGCCAAACATTTCTAGCAGTTTGGAAGCCATCTTCCTCAGCACGAGGGGGGACGGCTGGGGAACTAGGGCGCTGCGGAGTTGTTGAGCCGCTAGTGGCATTGTTACTGGAAGCCACCCGCGAGCGCCATCCTCCCTGAGGGCCGTCCGAAGAACGTGTAGCAGGAGGCCTGTATCGAGACTGGCCTTCAGACTGAGGTGGCGGCGTCGCGGCAGCTTGTCTGGAGGGCGACGACGGAGTAGCGTTCCCACTTGTTTGGCGTCTCCAAGGTGTGCTCTCTGAGGTAGGCGCAGCAGAACGTGCAGGAGGGGGCGCGTGCCGCCTTTCTGCAGCCCGAGCCTCAGCCTCCTCTTCGCGTTCGCGCATCTTGCGCAATCTCTCGGCGTCTGCTGCACGATCTGCCTCGCGCTGCTTTCGGAGTGCGATCTTCTTCTCTTCTTCCTCGCGTTTCTTGGTCTCTTCCGCTTCCAACCTCGCCTCCTCTTCCTCCGCAAGGCGACGCTCCTCATCGAGTCGTTCTGCAACACCAATAGTTTAAGAAAAGAGTCGAAAGAAGAGGATTGGAAATTCTCACCTTGTTCGAGACGTTTCTCTTCCTCCTCTGCTTCGCGCCTCAGGCGTTCCTCTTCTTCAATCCTCTTGCGCTCCTCTTCGCGCTCCTTCATTATCCTCTTCTTTCTCTTCGCCTTCTCCTCCTCTGCCTTCTGCCTCGCCTCCTCTCGACGCTTGGCGTACTCCTCGCCTCTGCGGCTGAGTAATGCATCCTTCTTCGCCTTATATTCGGGAATAAGTCTTGCAAGGCGGTCCTTCGTTTCAAGGCTCTCCTTATGCGCGTCACGGGCAGCTTGCAGCTGTGCCTTCTGTGATGCCTCGAATGCGACACGGTCGTCAACCTGCTGTTGTTCGTAATCGATCGCCAGCAGAGGCCTCTCCTCTTTGCGGTAGGCGCGCTCCAGGTGATCCAGACGCTTGGCGATAATGCGCATCCGGTCATTCTTTTCTTTTGTCTCCTTGTCCAGCTGCTCCACCTGCAGACGCATAAGGTTGTCTGCGTTGAGGTCGGTGATTTCCTGCAGAAGATATGAGCTTCAGCGAGCATAGCAATTGCTGCGAAGAAGACTTACGCTGAGATCGACCTTCAAAGTACCCTTCTCCTTCAGACTCTTCGCAAGAGCGGCAGCCTCCTCTTGACGGATCTTTTCGATGTCTCGCTTGATGCGTTCCTGCTCTTTCTTCCTAGCCTCTTCGGCGGCGCGACGCTCAGCTTCCTGGGTCTCCCTCTTCGAAGTCTCCAAGCGGCGCATTTCGTCTTCCATCTTCTGGCGTGCACTGCGCTCCTCCTGGTCAACGAGACGGCGGTTCGTGATCCTGCGACGAAGTTTGATGGCTTCGCTCTCAGCGAGAGCAGCTGCAATGAGAGTTTCCTGGTCGACAGCAGAGGTCTGGGCCGGAGGATCGATCTGCTGGAGCGCATTGTAGAGGCAAGTCGCGAGTCCGCTGAGACGAGTGCGGACGAGGTCGCGGTTCGAAAGCTGGATGGTTGCCGCAGACGAAGATGGCCCGGAGACGGACTCGGAGTTGCCGAAGGCGTCGTCGACGAATGTGATGCTACCTGCCAAGTGATCGACGCGGATAGCAACTTCTCCACGCCTTGCGCATCCCATCAAGAAAGCTTCGACGCCGTTACGGCCCCAGGCTCCCTCGAAGACGGTCTCGAGGGGGCTCACGAGCTGCATGAGATTGTCAATCTGCATGTTTGTATAGACTTGAGAGAGTTGGCCCAGAAGACGGCTCAATACCGCGCGCTGAAGGAGGGGGAGGTAAGGAGCATAAGAGTCGTATTTCGCATCGCTGGCGAGCTCAGAAAGGATGGGCGCAACGGACGAGCAAAGCGACAGTGGGTCAAATGTCACTTCGAGAGTCTGATACAGCTTTTGAATTGGAGCTGGGGCGAATTTGTGGACATTGCGAGATAGCTGGGAAAGTGAGTTTTATCAGACGCAGAGTAGCAGAAGAGATGTCGGATCATACCGCTTCTTTGAGCAACCCTTCGCGCGTCGGAGTCCTCGTCAAACCCAGTAAAGCACTCAAGCGCCCTACACGATCCCGGAGTCCTTCAACTTCAACACCCTCCTCCTTTCCAGCGCCCGCCATACCGAGGTCAGGCACGGCAAGCGCGCTGATGAGAACCTGTCCGGCGAGCTTGGACATCTCGTCGTCGTTTTTCCCCGCCATTGTACGGACGACTCCGTAATAACGTGACCACGCAGCGGCATGGAATAGCGCATGCGAGCTTCCGAGAGCGGTACCGTCAGAAGAGGTCAAAAAAATCTTCGTAAGCTTCTCGTAATAATTCGCCATCATGGCGGGGCGGACACCGAGTCCTTTCTTCGTGCCGTCCTTGTTCGTGACAGCACCAGCCATCGTCAGGAGTTTGTGAATATCCTCGATGGAGCGGAATGCCTCTTGCCAGAGCTCTAACTCGGCAGAAGTGTTGAGTTGAGCGAAACGCGTGTCCAGATGACGTTGCAAGGTCTCCGCGTCAGAGAGGTTGATCGCGTGTGTTTGGTGCGAGTATTTCTCGACCTTAGATAGATGAAGACGCAAGATTTCACAAAGGCGACGGAATTCGACCTTGCGTTCATGCTTCAAGCAGAATTTGAAAGCTTGTTGGGCGATTTGCTGTAGCGCGGAGTTAGTTTACAGATGAACAAATCGAAATGAAAAGCACTCGCACCTGATAAATCGTCTCGAGCCTCGCATTGTTGTGAAGGGTGTCCAGCGCCGTTCGATAGCTCTCCCAAAGGAACTTGAGCCATGGGGTGACCAAAGACCTATCCGTACGGTCCTTGCTCTGGTCACCGCTGACGGCACCCAAGAGGATGCTCTCGGGCGTTTCGATGGCTTCCAAATCGTCCACGTCGGTCAACGCAACAGCTTTCTCCGCCTTTTCCTGCGCCTCCTGAACCTTGGCGTCCGCAAGGGCTACGAACTTTTTGATGACGACTTCGATGGAGCTGACACTCGTATTCTGGGCCATGTTCTTGTACTGCATCAATCCCTCCTTCGCCGTACGCCCTTTACGCATCTCCACGCAAAGCTCGACGAAACGCAGCATGACGGGTTCCAGCGATGTGAGCGAATACTGTCGGACGCGCTTCGAGCCAAACATTTCAGTCAAAGACTGAAGGGCAGCATGAGACTGCCCAACGGAGACCAGGCCCTCAGCTTGCTTGAGGACCGTCTCCGGTTTTGAGAAAGGCGCCATGATTGCAGGTGAAGAGTTGTTCTATAGCGCACGACAAACAGCCAGCGTGGCGGAGTCGTGCGGTATTCGAAGAGATTAGAGCGGTGTAAGACTGCTGCCTTCGACCGTCGACGAAGTTTGTCCGAGAGAAATACAACGAGCTCGTTGTGTTGGTGAGCGCGACGTCGACGAGAACACAAAATTTCGATGACTGGGAGCCGTGTAACAAGGTTTGGCGTGTGCGAAAAGGATTTCCAAAAGGAGTTCACTTATAATAAAGTGCCTGCTACACATATATCAATGCAATTGAATGTTTATAAGTCCGATATGGTGTAGTGGCTAACATTGCCGCCTCTCACTTTCGGTTCTGAGGAATCGAACCCCGAGATTTAATTCGCGGCAGCCCTGGGTTCAATTCCCAGTATCGGAATATTTTGATCTTTTTCGTGAAGATACGACCTTTCTACAATTTTCTACGTTTTTTTTCGAATTTTTTTTGAAGCAAACACCGCGTTGGAACATCGTGGCCACGAACTGGGAGGTGTAAGTCGACATCGAAATGCCAAATGAAGAACTGACGCGCAGAGTCGCCGCAGACTTGCAGCTCGGCCAATTCTGCTGTCACCCTCGCGCCTTTCCTTCCTCTCTGACCACCACCATTGTTTTGGGAAACATCGTCATTCTGCTCAGTTTCGTGTCTCGCAGAATTCGTCGCTGATTACAAGGGAAGCAGGCGGCAACCCGTTCCTCGTCTCACTGGACGCGCCTCCGGGTGATCTGACTTGTACTTCACTCAAACCGGACGCAAAATGTCAAACAACTACGGCAGCAACACTCCCAAGGAGAATCCCTACCTTGCGCACCTTCCAAAGGACAAAAGATATGCCAATGGATCATCTTCATCTTCTCCCGCTCCTCGAGACCCGCTATATGGAATTGTACCCCGAAGAGCTAAGGGGGAGCAGGTCAGAAAGGTTTTGGTGCGTAGTCATACCTGCCTGTTATTTGAAGTGCGAAACTCATCGTCCGATATATGCTTAGGAAGGAGAAATCAACCCGTTCACCAAAGAACCCTTGAGTGCATCGTACAAGAAAATTTTGGAGGCGAGGAAGAAACTGCCGGTATATGGTCAAATGGACGAATTCTATGAGATTGTGCGTGAACTTGGAATTCGCCCTTGAAGTCGGGCTTCTAACACTCTCGATCAGTTCTCCACGAGCCAAATTATTGTCATGGTTGGAGAGACGGGCAGTGGAAAGTAAGTACGTGAAAATTTATGACTCGAGCTCGCTCTGAAGTGGATGATGCTCCTGTCTTCAGAACTACGCAGTATGTATCGCTCATATTTTACTTCTTTTGTATCTACAACTCACTTACTCGTATCTCAGAATCCCACAATTCGTCGCATATACGGACCTGCCACATACGAGAGGGAAGATGATTGCGTGCACCCAACCTCGTCGTGTCGCCGCCATGTCGGTTGCTAAACGTGTCGCTGATGAGATGGACGGTTCGTCAAGCCCTTCTCAAAGTCTTGTATCGAGCATTACTGATATATCGTTCAGTCCAGCTTGGGAAGCAAGTCGGCTATTCGATTCGGTTTGAGGATCTCACAGAGCCTGGTACCACCTTCCTGAAGTACATGACGGACGGTATGCTTCTGCGAGAGGCGATGAACGACCCTCAACTTTCACGCTATTCAACAATCATCTTGGATGAGGCACATGAACGTACACTGGCTACCGATATTCTGATGGGCCTTCTCAAGGGTGTGTGCAAGGAGCGACCAGATTTGAAGCTCATTGTCATGTCTGCGACACTCGACGCCAAAAAATTCCAGAGGTACTTCGGGATACCACCTCTCGGGCCAGATGGAAAACGGCTCAAGGAAGAGCCCAAAGATGCTCCACTCTTCAAAGTACCAGGTCGTACGCATCCCGTAGAAGTGTTCTTCACTCAGGAACCAGAGCCGGACTATCTTGAAGCGGCTATTCGTACCGCTCTGATGGTGCACAGAGCGGAGCCTCCAGGCGACATTCTTCTCTTCTTAACGGGTGAAGAAGAGATTGAAGACGCCTGCCGGAAAATCAGCCAGGAAGCAGCAGAGCTCACCGCATCCGACCCAGAAGCTGTCGGTCCTTTGGTGTGCATACCGTTGTATTCCAGTCTACCGCCTGCGCAGCAGCAAAGGATATTCGAGAAACCGCCGGAACCGAAAGTTGAAGGAGGTGCTGAAGGCCGAAAGGTCGTGGTTTCGACGAACATCGCGGAAACGTCACTCACCATTGATGGCATTGTCTATGTCATCGACCCAGGGTTCTCCAAACAAAAGGTCTACAACCCGCGTATACGAGTCGAATCGTTGCTCGTCAGTCCGATTTCGAAAGCGTCGGCGCAGCAACGTGCGGGTCGTGCAGGCAGAACGAGGCCTGGAAAATGCTTCCGGCTTTACACCGAGAAAGATTTCGTGAAGGAACTCGAGGAACAAACATACCCAGAGATTCTTCGAAGCAACCTGGCTAATACTGTGCTTGAGTTAGTTAAGCTGGGTATCAAGGTAGGTGTTCTATGATCTTTTGTCAAGCCATTCTTCTCACAATATTATCAGGATCTCGTCCACTTCGACTACTTAGATGCACCAGCGCCTGAAACATTGATGCGAGCACTAGAGCTACTGAACTACCTCGCTGCACTGGATGACGATGGCAATTTGACTCCTTTGGGGGCGATCATGGCAGAGTTCCCTCTTGATCCTCAGGTTTGTTATGGCCTTCTTGTCAACGAATCACGGAACTGACTCCTTTACTTAGATGTCAAAAATGCTGGTTGTCAGTCCGGAATTCCAATGCAGTAATGAAATTTTGACAATTGCTGCCATGTTGTCGGGTAAGCTTCATAGAGTGCCTTTATACCACGTACTCATAGTTCCATCAGTCCCGAATGTTTTCATGCGACCAAATAACATGCGGAAGGAAGCAGACGCTGCAAAAGCCCTTCTTTCGATACCCGACGGTGATCACTTGACACTACTGAACGTGTTTAATAGCTACAAGTCCAGTGTGTACCATCTCCCGCTTATCTTTTCGTTTACTGATTGTATATGTCAGACGCGGCCGACAAGAACTGGTGTTGGATAAATTACTTGAATGCCCGAGCTCTTGCGCAAGCCGACAATGTGAGGACGCAACTGATGCGCACAATGGAGCGTTTCGACGTCGACCTCTTGTCGACGGATGACATGCGCAAGTACTACGTAAACATTCGTCGCGCTTTGGTGTGCGGGTTCTTCATGCAAATCGCACACAAGGAAGGAGGCGCGAAGGGCGCGGAGTACATCACGGTGAAGGACAACCAGTCTGTCGCCTTGCACCCATCTTGCGGGCTAGAGACACAACCAGAATGGGTGATATTCAACGAGTTTGTGTTGACAACACGGCGGTATATTCGAACCGTAACAGAAGTGAAGGGAGAATGGTATGTCTTCATATCATCCTCGCCACCTTATCGGAAGCACTTACGAAATGCACCCTTAGGCTCTTGGAGTATGCGCCGCAGTACTTCGATGTGAGCACCTTCCCCGACGGCGAGACCAAACGTGCTCTTCAGAAGATTCTGGGCAAGCGGGTCGGAAACATAAACAGTAGTCGGGCAACAAGTGAAGCCGCCTCCAATGCGAGTGGTGACGAGAGAAAGAAGAAGAAGAGAAGGAAGGAGTAGATAGTATCGTTTTCATGTTTTGTATAGATTTATCACTTGGGTTTTATACATCTCGACATTTTTACCCGAGTTTCCATCTCCCTTTGGCGAGCAACTCAGTACGCGCTTCGCCCGGCGCTAACCGCAACGCGCATGGTCAACGACGCCTAAATTTCGCTTGACTCATGCATGCTGGCCAGGTTGGGCCTTCGCACTGTTCCTCTTCATCGTCGATCGCTACGATTCTTGACAACTCTATCTCGTACTGCGATGTCAGAAAACATTGCCCAAGACAAGTCTGAAGAGGTCGTCGGTGGCGAGGGGAGTTTGACGAAGAGCGCAGGTGCGATCGGCCGTCGATCGTTTGGATTGTGACAGCTCACAATTTCTATGCAGCTAAGAAAGAGGCCAAACGACTCGAGAAGGAGCTGAAGCTCGCGGCCAAACTTGCGAAGAATACGGTTGCCACTGCAGCTGGAGGAGAGAAGAAAGCGAAGGAAAAGAAGGAAAAGAAGGCTGAGGATGCACCCTTCGTGAACACGACGCCGAAGGGCCACAAGAAAGGTGCGTCCATACAACGATCATATCCAGTGCATCCGTTGAATGTACCTCTTAGACATGACGCAGCCTATGGCATCGGGATACGACCCTATTGCTGTCGAATCTGCTTGGTACGAATGGTGGGAGGCGCAGGGTTTCTTCTCGCCTCAAATGCAAGCAGATGGGTCCCCGAAACCTGAAGGGACATTTGTCGTCACTTTCCCTCCTCCTAATGTGACAGGAAGTCTTCACATCGGACACGCTCTTACTGTCGCATTGCAAGATGCTCTCGTTCGTTGGTAATTATTTCCAGCATTGACTGAAGTGCATACATTCTTATGGTGTCTAGGAATCGAATGCTCGGAAAGACAACATTGTTCCTCCCAGGCTTCGATCATGCTGGTATTTCTACGCAGTCTGTTGTCGAGAAACGTCTCTTCAAGTCTTCGGGAAGGACAAGGCATGATCTAGGTCGTGAAAAGTTCCTGGAGACTGTGTGGACCTGGAAAGACGAGTGAGTGGAAATATCCCATTCAATTTCATGGAATCTGATACGTATTAAGGTATTACAAGCGCATCGAATCTCAAATGAAACGTCTTGGTGGAAGCTTTGACTGGGACCGTGTTGCGTTCACCATGAACGATGTCAGTTTGTTTCCACCAATCGCAAAATTATATTCTGATCATTTTATCATAGCAATTATCGAAAGCCGTGATGGAGAACTTCTGCAGCTTGTTCGAGCAAGGTATCCTGTATCGCGCCAACCGACTTGTGAATTGGTGTGTTCGGTTGAATACATCACTATCAAACATCGAGTTAGATGACAAGCAATTGACCGGGAAAACATACCTCTCGGTGCCCGGTTATGACCCAAAGGAGAAGTTCGTCTTTGGAGTTCTGACTTCCTTTGCGTATCCTATCGAGGGCTCAGGTTTGTCGGTCGTCATTGAACTACTTCTTAGTATTCAATAAGTTTTAGACGAGAAAATAATCATCGCCACAACACGACCGGAGACCATGTTGGGTGATACTGCAATTGCCGTTCATCCGGATGACAAGCGCTACACCGTCAGTCCTCGCACAGTTTTCTTGATGTTCACATCTTTGAACTGCTAGTTGTATAGCATCTGCATGGCAAATTTGCCGTACATCCCTTCATCCCGGGTAGACGACTACCTATCGTCACGGATGA